CTTGCTTGAGGGTGTCAATGATGGCCTTCTGGACAGCAGTCAGGTCGACAGTCTTACCCATGATTGCAGTTTTGAGTAATGAACAAGGCTGGGAGTTTTTAAAAGCCTCAGGAATCTTTTGCAGGTGTTTAGAGGTACGTCGTTGATTCAGATGGTTAGGTTAATAGTTTGTTTAGAGAACCTTTTCATGATATGCTAATTTTTTGGGACAGGCATTTTGGGTTTTCATGAGCTGTATGCCATAATCATCAGTATTAAAACAATTAAAGACCTGAAATATTTCAGTTGGTGTGCAATGAATCTGAAATATATGAAAGTTTCATTTTTATCATTACATTGTGGAAAATAATGATCTTTGTCATAATATGCTCATTTTTTGAGAAGGACCTGTGTATATATATCTGTCATCCTTCAAACGTGTTGCTGTCCACATCATAGACTGTCTGGACTTTGAACTTTCACACTTCTAGGGTACACCTTTTGCAAATCTCAATATTGTGCTTTTAACTACCATCAGCACTTTATTATTATTTTTTTTTAACATAAAAAAAAATTGTTTACAGTCATCTTGTCAGCTTTGCATTAAAAACGAGCATACCCCATCCTAAATTAATCTTGGAGTTGAGTTATTAGGGGATTGGCTTATAAATTAGTGAATGATTAGCCTATTCCTAAACTGCAAAAAGTGTTAATGGTCCAGTAGATTAAATTATCAATGCTTGGGAAGCTTCCAAGGTGGGCTCTAAAGCTGGGACAAGGTGGGGACAAAGCCAAGTCAGCCAGGTATGAAGAGCCCCATGGTGGGGGCTTCTTTTCATATCCACAAATGTATAAACTCAGTGACTAAAACTGCAAAATTATAAGGTGGTAAAAGTACAAATTAAATGTCCTGTGTAAACTATCTCCACCCCCTTCATTCTCAGTTGCTAAAGTTATTTTTCTTGTATTTTTTTTATGTTGAACTGAGGTTAGAACATGTGATCAATGGCATGTTGTAGGTGTGTAGGCAGGTATGTCCATTGGTCATGCTCATTGCATTTCAGAGAATCATTTCGCTCTGTGCAACCATTTCCTGTAATTTGTCTTCATAGATTGACATTAATCACTAAACAGTCCACTAAAATTTGATTTAAAAGAAGATAACACAGTAATCTTGTAGAGTTCAAAATGATGTAAATATTCTTGAGTTACAGCGGCTGCAGTAATCTGCCCTTTTATTGACCTCCGTTGCTCCTGCCATGACGGGTGACTTTGAAAGGCAGGGCTGCTGTAAATTTTTTACCATGCAGCACACCTACTACTGGAAGCCTTGCGTTTATTTGACTTCAGTGAATTAGATGTGCCATCAGTTTCCCTGAAAATCTGGGGTTGTCCTCTGAAAGTCCAAGCCTTTAAACGGCAGCAGCATGTTCAGAAGAGGAGAGCTCCATCACACTGTGTGCTGCACATTTACCCTCCAGCTTGAGACAGGTATTTCAGAACTGACTGTTAAACCTCAAATGAAACAACTTGAATTGTTTAGTTTTGTATTTTCCGTTACATTTTGTGGCGTCTTGCATTGGTTTTAAATTAATCGGATTACCTTTCTGTTTACAGCTTTTAATCTCACTGAAGCTGGTCTGACTGAGGTTTTGAGACTAGCAAGATGCGTTCCAGTGTAGATGGACAGCCAGCGAGCGAAGGAACGAATCATAGCAACAACATCAACAACAACAACCGCAACAGGACCAACAGTGAGAACAATGGGAACTCAGGTTCCCAGTATGCCTTGTGTGCTCTAGGCGTCGGTCTAATCGCGCTCGGCGTTGTGATGATCGTGTGGAGCATTGTGCCTGCAGACCCATTTGTTACTAACAGCAGTTCAAGTTCAGGAGGAAGTAATGTCATCGATACCAGGAAAAATAAAGCATCTTCCGTGGCCTTCGTGCTGGCGGGCTCTGGCGTGGCGATGCTGTTGCTGTCCCTGTGTTTGGGAATGAGGAACAAACAACGGGAGCAGCTGAGAAACCAGGAGATCCAGAATCAGAGAGAAGCAGCGACGAGGGCACAGGAGGAGAGAGAAACGTGAGTCTGGTCATGACTTCACTTAAAACGTATTTTAAAGATGAGTTTTTTTTCCTAAGATATCATGTTTGAAAGATTCTTTGCTGATCCTGTTGTCTGCTCAGGGAATTTTCTTTGAAGATGGCAAAGCCTTTTCTGTTATTCTTGGCACAAAGTGACTTGTCTCAGGATATGAAACCCAAAGACTAGATTCACAACATAAAAAAGAAATCGTGGTTTTCATGCTGTTTGTCCACAATCACAGATGCACGTGAAAGTCTTATGCTTCTTTAGTGGTCTCTCACCAGTTTGAAGAAGCTAACAAATGAACAGTATTTATATGATACATCCTGATTTAGTCTTCTAAATGCATGTTTTATCATAACAGCAGGAAGTGTTAAAGGAGCTAAAGCATCATGTCAGTACACTTTGTTCAACTTGCATGTGATCATTGATGTATAAATGTTTACAGTGCGGAGGAGCAAGCCCGACGTTACGCCGTACCCAGCTATGAAGAGGCAGTATGCAGCGACCAGTATCCTGTCCGTCAGAGCAACCTTCGTCCGAGCATCTCACAGCTGCCATCTTATGATGAGCTAGTTCAAGTCGATGGCATACAGTACGAGAATGAAGGGTCAGAGGTCACAACTACAATATCGCCGCCTGCTCAGTCTTCAAATGCTGCTGTTTCCGCAATAAATCATAGACCTAGCAAAAATAGCCTCAAGCTTCTTCCTATCAAAATCCGAAGGATTAAGTCAGAGAAGCTGCCCATGAAAACCACTGGCAGCTCTCAGCCAACTCCTGGAATCAGTATTGAACCTCTTACCCCGCCGCCACAGTATGAGGATAAAGTGCCTCCACTTTAATACCTACCTGATGTTTCAAAACAACTGAGGGAACCTTCTAGACTTCTCTGTTTTCAGGCTGTTGTAGACCTGGATCTGCCTTTTCAAGCAAAGAACTGATTATTTTTGCAAAATGTTATGTTTTGCTATGGACCCTGTTATCTGTTCAATTATATCACTGTGTCTCATGTTTGGACAGAGGATTTATTTTATTGTGCATCTCGTTGGGTCACAGAAACGGATTCGAACAATGCCTTGATCACTTCTTCATAGTTTGAGAGTTCTTCACACCATGACACATTGGACATGATCCCTTTTTCACATATCTTGTAGGTTTCTCAAGTGTTCCTTTATGAAACCAGTCTCCACTGTGCACGGTTTGTTTGAGAGACTTGTGGACAGATATTAGGAGACATTCACGAATGGTTGCACTGAAGACCTGTGTACAAATCATGTATGCCTGTTTTGTTTGAAGGCTGCAGATTTTACACAGTTTCAATGGTTATTTTTGCTGCCACTGCCTAACCAAACGACTGAGGATTGTTTTTACTTTGGTGTTATCTTACCTGGAAACTGTCTTAATTGTCCAAAGCCTTTTTATATTTACATTCATCTCAAGAAAATTTAAAACTTTCAACTTTAAGATAATTCCAGTAAGTCCATTATTTCAAAAGTGAGCTGAAAAATTGTGTGGGCATTTTTATGTAATGCAATGAGTTTCTACAATAACCTTCAAATACTTGATTTATATGCCAAAAAATGTCCTTTTTTTTTAGCTTCATGGATCAGTGTTGACCATCAAAGTTAGTAGAAATAAACAAAAAAAAACCCTTTACCTAATGCTAACCACTTAGCTGTGACCTGGCAGCTGTTTGCTAACGGCTACTGAAGAAAATTTCTTTTTATTTGTGGCTATCGGATAAGTAGTTTTTATGAGATGATATTTTTTGTCAGGTTTAGACGAATTGAACTAATAATAGTCTAGTCTTTTTTAGTTGAACTAAATCTAATTTGTTTACTTTAGTTTTCTACCACCCATAGCTGAACTCTCCCAAGTGGTTAAAACAGCTCAAGATGCATCAGTTTGATAAATAGATGCAAATAAAAAAGTGCAAATGTCAGTTTATGGTACTATCTACATTATTCCATGTGTAATGTTGCTGGATAAACACAAGATGGAAGGGGCATTTCGTTGTGTGCAGTGCAATAGTCGTTTAAAGATTGGAGACCTGTGTGTTAAAGATGAAGTATTTTTCCAGGAAGCTTGTTTTTATAGAGGTTTTAATTGCCAACGTTTGACTTTGAATGCAGCAATACATGCCCTTCAGTTAGTTATACACACAAAACCATTAAGTGCAATTTTACTCTAAACACTTCAGAAATGCTACGAAAGGCATTCGGTAATTCCGTTTTTATCCGAGCGTCTCAGTGTTACTTCCACTTTTACGAACAGAAGAATGTATGTGAGGATGTTTGGAGGAACTTGGTGAATGGCTGAAAGCCTGACTCTGTAGTCATGGTGAGTTGTGAAAGCGGTAATGTAGTCTGCTTATCAAGGGATGGGTTTTTTCCAGAATCTTTGAGTGTGCAGCTGCACCATAATAACAGCAGCTGCTCGCTGTTCCTTCAGCCACGGCTTGACCTGCAGCCCAGTTTGCACGTAAGCGCAGTATGTGGAGGAAGAGCAGCTTCAGGCTTTATTCAGGAACTGCTTTAAGCTACTTCTAGTTCTGTTTTCTCAATGAACATCAGAAGCCGAGCAGACTTTTTTTTATCAGTCATTCAATATTATTGCACAGCCCAAACTGTTTGTTTTGTAATAGCTGAAGTACTTTGACTAGCGTTCTAATTTAGTTTGTATTCATGTTTTGCATGAAAGATACTCTGTTGTTGTTAGAACGTTAGCAGCAGCCATTTCTGTATTTTCACTCGTCTACATTTCCCAGATTTGTTTCAAAGCTTAAACTCGATGGATCAGTTCTGTTTTAGTCAAATAATGTTCCGAGAGCAGCAGCGGGTCTCATTAGCAAATAACGAGATTAGTTTTTTACTATGATGTCAGAATGTTTTACATTTTTGGTTATTAGTGTTTATATTTAGGTGGCACCTTGTGTTTAAAAAAAAAAGTATGTAAGGCTATCTCTTTTTTTTAACACTTCATTTTTTTATGTACTGTGAACACATGCTTTTCTATGACCATGTTTTTGTTGTTAAAAATTGTAGTTTAGTTTTTGCAGAAGTTTTAAGTCATTTATCATGAATATTTATAAGAAATAAAAGCGAGCATTTGTTAAGTTTGTCTTTGCATGTCGTGTATTTTTAAAAAAAATTATTTTATGTTTGTGAGCAAAAGTGCACAAAATAAAATCCTGGATAAAGTTTTCTAACTCTAGAGAAAAGGTTAAAAAATTAACTAGAACAGGTTCAGATTAGCTGTTATTACTTGAGTTTCCGGGTCGTTTAAAAATCCAATATTCTGTTTTTTATTCATTCTGTTAATGATTTCCTGGACGTTCTTATATTTAGGGAATAAAAGTGCTGTAAAGACTTCCTAGTTCTGATTAAACCACTTGGATTGTTTAGTAGTTGGTCATAACTTTCAAAGAGAACAAGAGAAAAAACTGAAAGCATTTCCCTTCATTCACAACTGTTTATTTTATGCTTCAAAGGTCATTGCAAGGTGACTGATTATCTACATTAATGCATCTGATGAGACTCTTGTAAAGTCTTAGGAGAACATTGCAGCTTCCACCAGAGACAAAATGATAAACGTCCCAGAAAGCATCAGTTCAGGAGTACTGAGCTTAGTCCTGCTGTGTTCTGCTTTCACTCAAAGTAATTTCCACACTTACTGTTTTCTTAAAACTAAATATACTAAATAAATAACCTTTTAGTAGAACAACTCATTTAAGTGGTGATTTTCCAGTTGAAAAATAAGCTTCATTATGTTTAACCAGCTTTGGATTACATTTATTTACTCAATATATGATCATCTTTTACCTGCTTCTTCCTTTTCGGGTCACTGGTGCCCATATCCAGCAGTCACTGTGAGAGGTGGGGTGCACCCTGGACAGGTCACAAGTTCATCACAGGACTGATTTATGATCATAATTCAAATAATTTTATTATTTTTTTTTTTTCGGCTGCTCTCTTCTTCAGTGGGCGCCACATTAAACTAACTCTCACATAGACTTGGCAATTAGTTTTACGCCAGATGCCCTTCCTGCTACCTAGGGCCTCCAGGGGAGCAGACATTTGGGTTTAAAGGCCTTGCTCAAGGGCTCAGAGTGGGAAAAATGAGGGTGGAGGCAGGTGTGGGTATTTGACCTTTCCTACCCACATTTTAATATCGTCAATTTGTGGAGTTGAGCTGAAGATCTTTTGATCACCTTCTCTAACCTCTGCTCCACCACTCCCCTTTTATAATGATAGTTTTTTATTTATTTATAATGTACAGTAGTCCCTCGTTTATCAAGGGGATCCTTACCCTTAAGACCCACGATAAGTGAAAAAACGCAAAGTAGGAATAGTAGTACAAGTAATAAGTAGTATAGTTTATATATATATATATATATATATATATATATATATATATATAACCCCCACACTCTTGCAATATTCATAACAATGTTTCTAAACTTTAAACGCTCTAGAAGAGGACAGAATGTCATGATTTCAGCTCTCTTCCTCCTCTGCACCTGTGAGCGCTCTTGGCCACGCCCACTTCTCCGCTGCACAGTGAACAGCTGATCAGCTGCAGCAAGAAGTTTATCCTGCAGTGTGGGCTGCACAAATGTGCAGCAGTTGCTAAATAATTTCAAATAATTTATTTTAAATAAAAAACTTAATGCCGATTGTGTGGCTCATCCATCAGTCAGTCAGTCAGTCAGTTGTGTGTCATGTCCAATCTTATTTTGAAAAACCGCAATAGAGCGAGTGCGATAAACGAACTGCGAAGTAGGGGACTACTTAAAAAACTTTACAACTGGAAAAACCATTATAAGTACTTTTATATGGTTTTTATTTATTATGTAGTTTAAATACATTTTCATAAGAAATGCGTTTTCATGCTTGATGTAAAATTCAGAATTGGGAATTCAGCCTATCATACACATTTCTGCAAGTTGAACCCAGACTACAGTATTCTTTTCATCCTTTTGCTTACATGAACGTTCAGCTGTTAGATGAAGGAAGTTGGTTTATACTGACAGAAACTAGGAGGTGTTAACTTTAAAGAATGTTAGAATAAGCCTCAAATCACAGATAATGCATGCGCTGATTTATTCCCTACTTACTGGAGAGTCCGCCTCGGTGTGTGACGTAGTATGGGGCGTCATAAAGCAGGATGACACTCCGATAAGGAGGGAAGGAAATGTTATTGTGTCAAAGAAGATGACAGGAGAAGACGGCTTTATCAGGACAACGTCATCCCTGTCAAAGGCAACGCAGTACATTATGTTCACGAGGTGACAAACATGTCGCTGTACATAAATACTCCACTGCTTCACCTCTTCCAGAGAAAATAAACCTCAGTTAATTGATAACTGACACTCCTAATACGCATACGAAGCGATGGATGTGTTGTTAAACTGTGTGGGTTGTTTTTATGAGCTGGGCAGGATGTTGTCTTTATGAGTGACGAGTTCAGCTGTCCTGCTCACTTTAGACTGCGTGTGTGTCAAGCTTCAGTCTAGAGCTGTCTCTATGGGATGGACAGGAGCTGACGTGACTTTGAAGTTCAAAACATAAACCATCTGTTTTTATGGATCAAACTGTGACTAATTCTGCAGGCGTCAACTTGTCTTCAACTAGTTGTGAAATCTCGTACGTCTTTGTGAGATTCTTTCTTTAAGGTAAATTGTCACTCCTTTTAAAGTTTAAACCTATATAAGCTTTTTTTTTACTTTAAAATTGTTTACATTAAAAGTGTTCACTGATGAAAGTATGCATGTTTTTTTATTTATGTACTGTAGTACAATATTTATAGTAATATTAGCATCCTTACAGATGTTTCAAGCGCCCTCTGCTGGCTGACTGGAGTATAGCTTCATAAAGTGTATATGTGCATGGGTGTCTCGGTGTGGATCAGTTGATAGAGCTGTTCCCTCTCAACAAGAAGGTTGCCGGTTCAAATCCTGGCCCAGGACACCTTTGGGTGGAGTTTGCATGTTCTCTCCGTTCATGCGTGGGTTTCCTCCCACAGCCCAAAAGCATGCATGTTAGGCTGATTGGTAACTAAATTGACTGTGAGTGAGAGTAAATGGTTGTTTGTCTCAATGTGTCCCTGTGATGGACTGGAGACCTGTCCAGGGTGTCCCCCGCCTCACACAGCAATAGCTGCACATGGGCACCAGTGACCCCCGTGACCCGAAAAGGAAGAAGCGGGTAAAGATGATGGATAGATATATTAATTTTTATATAATTTATTGTATTTACTTTTTCATTTTTATATGCTTTATTATATGATTGTCTATTGTTGTTTGTTGTTTGTACCTCATCTGTGTTTTTGTCTAAAACGGGTCTCTTGTAAATGAGTCCTCGTGGCTCAGTGAGACTAACCTGTATAAATAAAGGTTGAATGAGTATAATCACTAACTTTTGACAGACTTGAAGTTTGTGACCAACAGTTTTTACAACAACAAAAACCAGCCTTCTCGTATCCGACTGCTGGGTACAGAAATGCACCAAGTCACAACAGTGTGGTCTCCATCCTGCTGCTGGACTGAGAAACACGTGCAGAAAGTCAAACAAATCATGGGATTACAGTAAATGGACGTGCACAGCGGGTACTGGTGCTTGTCAATAGAAGTTCCCCATCATGTTTACTTCATGGTGAAAACTGGAATGTTTTTTACTAAAGAAGTATAATTAAGTATAATGTAAGTATACATGTTTTTATACATATAACTATTTCCTATAATAAAATAAATGCATATTGAAATGGTTCATTAGAGTTTTGATTTTCATGTTTTTGGAAAGCTCAAAATTGTATCTAAGCAAACCCAACAGAACTGACAGAGAACAAAGTAATTAAATATTTTATTTGTTGTTTTTATGTGTCTTTTCTCATTGTGTGTGTCTGGTTTCGGTCCTTAAATGCTGTCCTTATTAATAGGCCACCATTTTCTGTGAACAAAAGCAACGAGACATGTTAGATTTAGGAAAGTAAACGTGAAACATGTTGCGAGAGCTCCTTACAGAGTTGATCCAGTCTATGTAGGAGCTGACTTGTGTGAAGACGGTGGGCTTCTTGGGGAAGTTGCAGCTGAGACCAGAACCAAAGCTGACGATGCCATGAACCTCCCACGTTCCATCAGCATTCTGACAATTCAACGGACCGCCAGAGTCCCCCTGAAGAGACAGAAAAACAAAGATCGTACGTTCAGCTTTCTTGAGGGTTTGTATAAAAGTATTTTGTCTTCTCTCATTGCTCTGTAATCTGGCAGTCATTATTGTTCATACTTACATTGCAGCCTGACACGACCCCGTCTCCACCTGCGCAGACCATGGTTTCCGTCACCTGGAAGCCCCACCAGTCAGATTTGCTGCAGGTATCATGGTCCACCACGGGCAGCAAAGCCTGCTGCAGGATGTCAGCGATGGGACCACCAGCTGTAGAGGAAGATCAAATAAAGCTCAGGTAAAAAAAATAACAAAAGTGTCTAATCCACTGCTTGATTTCAGAATAAAAGCCCAAAATGATGATCTACACAACCCTTATTTATTAAAGGAGAACTTTTGTTTCTGAGCTTTCAGTTTGTGTGTTTGAGAGAAAGCAACTAATGCTTGATGCCTTTTTAAAATAACCAATAAAATGGAGCAGGGTCAACTCACTGTAGACGCGACCCCACCCGGTGACGTAGCAGGACTCGTTATGGGGGAGGAGGAAGCCGTCAGCGGGAAGACAAGAAGCCATGATGGCGTCAGAAAGCTCAACAGGGGACTCTAGTTTGATGAGGGCGATGTCATTGCTGCAGAACAAGAGCACCAGTTTACACCAGCAGTCACCTGATGGTTTACTTCCTGCTCTCACAGACAACATGGATACCGTATTTGTAATTACCGAATAAACAGAGGGTTCCACTTCTCGTGCACGATGATGTTGGAGGTGCCCATCGTCACAGAGCCTTCCTCTGCTTCTTTCAAGTTGTGCTTTCCCAGGACCACTGCATACTCCCTGCCTTTGCTGCAAGTTGGTCAATCAGAAGCAGCAACAATTAATTTAAAGCAGCAGGCGACACTTTAACAAACTGAACATTCAACATGTTTGTACTTGAATGTTAAGTTGTGCTTTACTGGTTAATACCTGATACAGTGAGCAGCAGTCAGGACCCACTGGTCTGAGATCAGAGTACCACCACAGGTGTGTCTAAACTCATCGTTGCTCTTGTACTGCAGAGAAATCTGAAAAACACAAGAAAACAATGGATTGTCTCTCATGATAAACTACGAACTACTGGTCATTTTTATGGTTTAGTGCAGGGTTATTAACTAAACTGCTCAGAGGGGCACAGTTACTGAAAGCCAAGAGCTCAAAGCTGCACATCCAGCACTTATTGTCATGAAAGTTCGTTTTACTGTTTAAAATCTAGTTTTAGTTAAGAATGAACCCAATGGTGGGCCGAGCTGAGGTCACCCGTGGGCCGGATGTGGCCCCCGAGCCACCAGTTCAATATCCCTGGTTTAGTGTCTTCTTTTAAAATCATGAATTCTTAAGAATTTATCCATCTCATAACGAACTAAACAGATTACAACTTTTCTTTTTCTATTTTTCCTAACTTTCTGCTTTTTCAAAAATTCAAATTCAAATTTGAAAAGTTGTTGCATAGCCACAGAAAATACATTTATTGTCTCTTTTATTTTAATTTGAGTGGAATATTGTAGATGTTTGTTCCTTTTCTAGTTCAAATGTTTTAATTTACTAAGTCACCGTTTGTAAAACATTTATTTATAAATTACATTAATCTTTTTTTGCTTGCATTTTATTAGTTTCAAAATGTATTTTTTTTTTTTTTTTTTTTAATCATTTCAACTTTATTTTCTTTAGTAGACTTTTATTTTTTTGACTACAGTTTCCCAGTTAGCTCTTGAATCTTTACCTGCCATGGCCAGCTGTGAGGCCTGACATCTTCTCCTCCGACCACTCGGCTCACCACAGGAGGAAAGGTGGGGGTGCCGCACCCATACGCTGGGGAAATAAAAATAAAAAAACACCGTCAAAACTACAAATTTAAACACACAGCCATTTTTACTAAACAGCGAAATGAGAAGTAACACCAGCGAACAGACAGATTACTGCTAAAAATGAGTTATATGTGATTTTCTTTTTCTTTTACAGCCGAATGATTCTTACCACCAGCAACAAGCAGAGCAAGCACCACAAACTTCATCATGTCTGTCTCTCCACAGCTTAAAGAAAACAGAGCATATTTATACCGTTCACAATGTTATGTAACCTCAACAATACTAACCTGTGGGAGTTCACACAGTGAGACATGTTAACAAAGGGGTGGAGTGAAGTGGACGTCTAAAGATACAGATGTCAACAGAAGTTAAAGACCAAGGACTTTTTTTATATCTTTGTTGAATATTTCAGTGACACACAGTTCATGCAAAAAAAAAGCTATATCCATAACAAATGTAAGCCCCCATTGATCATGAGCTCTGATTATTTCAATAAAAGTAATAAAGTAATGTCCCAAATTAATTGTTACAGTAATAGACTGGTGTTTAACTTCCCTTTTACATTTACATAAAACTCAAACCATTTATAACATTTTATGGACATATTTGGGAGTTATTTGTTACTTGTTTCTCTTTCATTTCATTCATATTTTTTATCACAATAAAACAAATTAAATTAGAATATTGTAAAGTTTAAAATAATATTAACACATTTGTAATGTAAAGATTAAGTAGTCACATTTCCTGACTGCTCTTTTTGGTCTTCATTATGTTTGAAAACTAATTTTACATTAAATCTCATAAGTTTTACTTCTAAACCACGTTTAAGACTCGAACAACTGACAAACATGTTTTACAAGAATATAAGCACAAAAATAATAACCAAAATACCTTTAAAATCAATTAAAAGCTGAAAAAGGGACATTGAAAGTAAAACAAAGTCAAGTAAAATTATTAAGACTGAAACCCTTATATATCAAGTTAAACGCCAAGGAGAATACATATCTTGTTTTATTTTATTTATTTATTTTTTTATTGTTATTTTAAAAGAGGGGAAAACTGATCCAAAATATTAGGGTTGCTAATGCAAAAACATGATAAAATAAAAGGTATTGCATTCAAAAACCGTTACGAAATTAAAATAAGGACAAAAATATATAAATGATCACATGAGAACATTTTGATTAAGTATGGAATCATATTGCTGTCATGAAAAAAAAATTGAACACTATTATAACATGAGTATAAGCTTTTAAAACAAAACAAAAACATTTTAATTCAATTATGCATTCAATAAGAAGTAACAGTAATATATTATTTTCTCAGGTTCCAGCTAAAAGTGTGAATTTTGCACCAGCTGCAAACAAACCAGCAGAAACTGGCCGACTTCTAGCAGCTGCAGAAAATAATATGTTCTCATTTTTAACAGAAACAAAGTTCTGATGAATAAGAAGTGAATCATAGAATAGTATCGGAGACACTTATTGGTTCCCAAATGTATCAAAAGTAGAACTAAAGTCCAAAATAATCAGAAAAATCACTTTACCATAATGACAATTCAAAACTGATTCTGTGACATGACTGGCTCTGATGCCTGACTGGAAGTTTGACCTTATTTTTATTTTTTTAATTATTATTATTATTCAAGAAACAGCTCTTTTTTTATTTTTGAAAAGAACAGAAGCTTCTTCTGTGCTCAATATTTAAAGTGAGACAGGAACAAGTAAACTGATATTAAAAAGTTATATTAACTTTGGAAATATTTAAAAGTCAAAAGCTCTGGTAACATCTGGATGGTTCTCACACAGCTGGGAAAGATACAGCATATTTAGGGATATCTTTGCTCTTATCTCCAAGGTTAGATTGTTTTTTCCACCAAGTTTTCCTGACTGCGCTAAAATAAATCTTAAATGACACGTCTGATATTTGCCAAGTAATGCTCTATATAAAGAGACACGAGTCAGTGTGGAAGGCACAGACTGTCACAATGAAGTTTCTGATCTTGGCTTTGCTCGTCGCTGGAGGTAAGCTGCTGAGAAATGTAACTGCTGATGTTTGGACACTGTGGTGAATTGTAACATTGTCTAATGTTGTCTTTCAGCCTACGGCTGTGGTCTGCCCACCTACCCCCCCACCCTGACCAGGGTGGTTGGTGGAGAGGATGTCCGTCAGCACAGCTGGCCCTGGCAGGTAGCAGCCCTTCTTGGTTCTAACTTTCAAAATCCAACGTCTTTCTAGAAACGTCAAACATCTGTGTGCTGTTGTCCTCAGGTGTCTCTGCAGTACCAGAGTGGCAGCTCCTTCTACCACACTTGTGGTGGCACTCTGATCTCTGACCAGTGGGTTCTCACTGCTGCTCACTGCATCGGGTAAAAAAAAAAAAAAAAAGTTTTACATACCTGATATAGAGTTAAAATATAAGAAAATAAAGAGGGCTTCATCAGATTAAAATACACAGTACTGACCGAGTCAAAGCGTAAAGCACTGCAGTAACAAGTTTTTATCAAGATGGATTAGAAAGATGGAGTTAAACCTAAAGATATTGTTGACTATATTTCTAAATAATGCAGATACAAACTAGTTTACTGTGGTCACATATATCCTTGTATTATATCAGTACATGAACAAAACCTAACAGCTATGGATGCAGTTCTCATGAACTAAAAAATGACTGTACTGACAAGTAACTTTTGTGATTACGCTGAATAAATGGAGCACATCTGTTTTTCTTTCTTTCTTTGTGACAAAATAGAAGTCGCACCTACAGAGTCTTGCTGGGAAAACACAACCTGAAGGTGAACAACGAGGCTGGTTCCCTGACCATCAGCCCCGCCAAGCTCATTGTCCACCCTAACTGGGACTCCTACAGAATCCTGTACGAACAATCGAGCTGGCTCTGCTTATCCATGATGGTACTTCTCTTATGCAGCTATTCTAAATGTTGTGTTTGTGTTCCCTCTTCAGTAATGACATTGCCCTGATCAAGCTGGCAACTCCCGTCAAGGTGTCAGACACCGTCATGCCTGCCTGTCTCCCCAACTCTGGAGAAATCCTGCCCCACAATGCTCCCTGCTACGTCACTGGCTGGGGACGCCTCTGGAGTAAGTTAATAGGAATATATATACAGATAGTATAAAAGTTCACAGCAATACCTTCATATATTTGATGTTTAGTGAGTGTCCCTGTAAAGCTGTTGTTACACTGGTTAATTATTAATTTGAACAAAGCTGAAGTGGTTAGAATTGGTTTGGAGTTCTTTTCTAATTCACTTTCTTAATAACCTTCATTAATGCAGATTAGTCGAGACAAAGTTACTTGTCAAACACATTTAAATACTTTTTTTTTTAAACAAAAAGTTAGAGAGTACACAATTTAAAACATGCACATGATATGACTCTTGTTTCTTTTCAATTGATGGCAAAAGTTGTGCCAAAAGGTAAATATGTAGCATGAATAAAATTTAAAAAACAATCTTAGCGTAAGTTTTGGGACTGAAATGGTATGAAAACTGGTGTAAACTCTGTTAATCTGAACATCGTGTTCTTTAAAACAGCTGGAGGACCTATTGCTGACATCCTGCAGCAGGCCCTGCTCCCAGTCGTCGGCCACTCCACGTGCAGCAGGTCTGACTGGTGGGGCAGTCTGGTCACCACCAACATGATCTGTGCTGGAGGAGACGGAGAGCTTGCTAGCTGCAACGTAAGACAAAACTCATCACTTAAGCAAACTTTGTATTGTTTTTTTTTCAATCCAGTTTCTAAACAGACTCAACTAATCCATTGCAAATGTGGCGTGTTTGTTATTCAGGGAGACTCTGGCGGTCCCTTGAACTGTCGGAACTCTGACGGCTCCTGGGACGTCCACGGAGTGGTGAGCTTTGGCTCCAGCATGGGCTGCAACTACCCCAAGAAACCGTCTGTCTTCACCAGAGTCAGTGCCTACACCAGCTGGATGAACACTGTGAGTGGAAACATTTTGATTACTCTAAATATCGTTTTATGAGGTTGCGTTACATGCAGGAGAATATTTTTGTCTCATGTTCATAAGAATCTAGCTTTTACATAGCTTACAATTTTGCTAGATAATGTTTTACAATAGGGATGCATGATATTGGATTTTTGGTCAATATCAATATGCCAATATGTTAAAACGTATTTGGCTGATAACCGATACCAATACCGATATTTTTCCCTTATATTTACTTACAGAGACTACATAGCTTTTTCACTTGTGGAATTAAAATACTACATTATTCTGCATGGTCTTTGTAAATTTGGCCTGCTACCAAATGCAGATGGCAAAAAGGAGGCTGAAAATGATGTAACACTTCAACTTGGATTATGATGTTCAATATTTAACTTTATCGCTAATATCGGCCGTTACGCTACCATGCCAATAATATTGTGCATCCTTATTTTATAGTGCTGTAGGTAATGAAACACACAAAACCCTAAGCTAAGTACAGTTACAGATGATGCTTTTAATATGTGATAACTTAAGATTTTTTTTGCTTGTTTTTCCAGGTGATGACCACCAACTAAGAAACAATGGTGTATGTCGGACACAGTTGATTGATTCAGTTGACAATAAAATAATTAAATAACTCAATGACTGTGTTTTTAATCAGACATTAAAATTTACAGTTCCTAACACTTTTTATTTTCATATTTAAATCACCTTGTCCAGGGGTTCTCAAACTTTTTGAGTTCAGGGACCCCCTCATAACTCATGTTTATTAAATAATTTTCTTCATTTTGTCTCTTTTTACTGCAATGGAAATATTTGTGCAACATAAATACTTAAGGCCTGTTCTTTAATACTGTCAATGCAAATTTTTTTTAATACTTTTTAAACATGGAGTATTTTTCGTTCTAGACACACTTGATTAACACAATTTTTAATTTCAACTTCCAAAAGTTACAGTTTTGAGAAACTTAACGGTGTCAAAAACCACTTTACCTATTCACAAAGTGAACATAATAAATGTGTTGCCACTTCAGATTATTACAGAAAACTCTTTACATAAAACTGAACAGAATCATAACGGCAGTATTATACCAAGTGACGGCTTCATTTGTAAACCGATTGATGCCGGAACACAAATAGTGGGCAGTGGTGGGAGGGGTCTGAGAGTCCTCCCCCAGGAAATTTTGAATAAAGTAGATGTGACTTCCTGCATTTTGTATTCTTGTATTTTAACGAGTTGTTAAACATATGTGCTTGTAAACAAACAAAAAAAAAAACTTTTTTTTTTTTTTTGCAGACCCCCAAGCACAGGCTCACAGACCCCCGGGTGTCTGGGTAACCCAGTTTGAGAACCGCTGATCTAGTCCTCTCAAATTCATGTGTTAATATTTTATCCCAGTTGACTAAAGAGGTTTTAGTCGTTTTATAACAATCTTTGATCAATTTAAACGGAGAGCTGCCTAAAGGTGTAGGGATGGTGCCATCTAGTGGGCCTTCCTCTGTCTCTACTCCGTGTTTCTGCTTTAATTGTCTGATTAAGATCACCCGTGTCTCATGTCCTGTTTGTGTATATAAGTCCATCTGTTAGTCCTATCATTTGTCGGTTCGTTGTTGGGTATTGCCTGTCCAGTCCGATCCTGTCTGATCCCGTCCTGACTATTTTGTAAGTTTGCTGCCTTGTCAGCCTTTTGATTTATTATTATTAATATTATTATTGAAGTATTTTATTTTGTACGTCTGCCTCCTGAGTCCTGCCTACTCAGCTGGGTTCTCCTGTCCTGACCTGCCTGAAACCCTGACAAAAAGGAACGGTTTGAGATTAACTGTGAAGACAAAGGGAAGTCCACACATACACAGGAGGTGGTACATAAAAAAGCCCATGTAAAAACAGTGTTCACAAACATGCAATTTATGTAAAACACAAAAACCTTTTTATTTCCCCTCTTGTCTTGTTAATATTTTTCAGCAGTTCTCCACTTTCCTATTCCAATCAGTATCATACCAGTTTTAAAATGTGCACCAACTCTTACAAGGTCACCCAGAGATTCTCACACTTTTAACAGAACATCTCGACAGACATGAACACAGCGTTTTTTCCTAATTCTCTCCAAACTTGTGAAGTTGTTTGAAGTGTGCTGAACGGCTGCAGGTGGAAGAACGGGGGGCAGAGCGTTTCCTCTCTGCCTCTACATCCGCTTTACCCTTCCTGTGAGCAACAGTCGTACATAATGGACGAGTGTGTCAGCTGACGGTAAACAAGATTACAGTCAAATTCTCCAAACAAACATAGGAAAAGGTTTGAATAACCAACAAGTGACAGAAGACCAGCTTCAGGTGTTCCTGTGAGGGCTTCAGGATACGTTGGGTTAAAATTAGAAGCTGACGTGTCCGAGTCCATTTATGATTTCCTCCGATGAAAGAACAATTGATTTAAGCAGCAAACAATGAAAACATTCACACACAACACAGCAAAAGTACAAGAACTTATAAAACCAGCACATGCTGATTAAAAAAAACAACTTGCAAACTGTAGTAGTAAAGCGCCTCTGTACTAAATTAGTTGTACTTTTTACTTATTTTGTTTATTTATCAAATGGCTGCACAGAAAAATCAAATCACATGGCATGGACTATTTGATTTAACCCATATCACACACAGCAAAACACTGTTGTCCTTATATTAAAACTTAGGTCTCTTCACACAAACATGAATAAACCTTTCTTACACCTTTGATTCTGCCTGGGTCCACAACTCTTCTGATCCATAATCAATGCATCTTATCTCTGTACGCCCACATGTTGGTAACATTACAGTATAGCCAAACAGTCAAGCTCTTTACGACACTGTGTCCTACCCATCCACACATCACCCTGCTTTATTTCTACAAAGCTCATTAAAATCAATTATTCTGTAGAGTTTTAATCAGTGCTTAAGATTTCATACACCAAAGGGGCACAATGGAGTCGATGAGGCGTTCAGTGTCTCTCCCACTTCCACATGTTACTGCATACTGCCAGGAATTGAACCTCCAACTCTTTTATTGGAGAGTGACAGCTTTAACCACAGAGCTACAGCCCCTCATTGTTAAATATGACAATAATATGGAGAGAATGTTAAGAGAACTGAACTTTGTTGTAATATTTAACCCTTTAAATCAGGGGTCCCCAATCCTGATCCTTGGGGGCCACCATCCTGCACGTTTTAGATGTTTGTCTTCTTCAACACACCTGATTTGAATAAATGAGTGATTATCTCTAAACAGTCTTCTGCAGAATTTGAAGACCTGCTGAAAAGGCAGGAAAACGACTAAAACATGCAGGATGGAGGCCCTCAAGGACCAGAATCGAGAGCCCAGTGCTTTTAGATCATGAAATGGTAAATGACTGTACTTGTATAACACCTTTCTATCTGATCAAGACACTCAACGCTCTTCACACTACAATCTGTGCCTCATTTACCCGTTCATACAGCACTGTACTACAAAGAATAATCAGTGCTTTATCACATTCATACACTGATGGGACACACATCACAGGCAATGAGGGGTTCAGCGTTTTGCCCAGGGACACTTCGGCATGTGACTGCTGGTGGAATCGAACCTCCAACTCTTGCATTGGAGGACAACTGCTCTAACCAGTCAGCCACAGCCACCTCATTAGAAAACGAGAACAGCCTCGGTTTCATATCGTCTATTTGTGCTTAAATATTTACAGATTTAAAATGAGGGTGAAACATTTTATGTTTAGTTTGTGCTTAAAGAACTAATAATTATAGACAATACAAAGACACATGGCTGTTCTTTTAAAACAGTTTCTTATCATCACAACATGTGTTGGAGCCATTTTTGTTCAAAAGTGACAATCCATCCTTTTTATTGCGTGTTTTTAAATTTCCTGAGTTTGAATTTAAAAGATGGTAGATCAGACACTCAGTACTGCATTGGCTAAAAATGAACAAGGGCTTTTAAATAATCATAACAAAGATGTATAATTCTTCATAAAAAAAAGAAAAGAAAAAAAAAAGAAGCTATTTTACATCTCCATCATGGACCACCTTCCCCTGGGAACAGACACATAATTAACAGTAATCATTTTGATCCCCACTATCTAATGCTTCCATACTCCGTCACAACTTATTCAGTCAAAAGCCCAATTACTGTTTTGTCTTCTGCCTTAAGAGATCTCATTAATAATCCTGATGTCACACAGTCATTATTAACAGAGAACTGCAACTACCCTGTTTAGCTCCAGGCCTTCATTTGCATGTTAATTATCATTAGCAACACAAGAAAACACATCAAACCGGCTTTAACCTTATCTTCTACTGATAGAACGCCGGTGTTCTAACTAGAAGCTTGAAACGGACCCATTGGTTGTTTACATTTGTCAAGTTGAAGCATTTACCTTTAGTGACTTATTGCATTTTAACCAAGATCTGCAGTTCATAAGATGTTTGTGACATAATCATTATATTTCTCAGCTTTGAGTTTTGTATTGCTGAACAGTTGAGCAAAGGATTACAGCAGCTGCAAGAGGTTTTCGCCAGATGTGTTGAATGATGGCAGATGAAGACTTGTGCACATGAGGTATCATTTAATCTTTAATAAGTTTATAATGCACCGTTTGCAAAGTAAACGTTTCAAAAACTACTTGGAACCCTTTTATCAAAAGCTCTTATTTTCAGATTACGCCAGTAACTGTAATCAAATTATACACACAAAGCACTGAGCTGAAAAGTTGATTGTGATTATATAACCCTTGTAAATGTATCTAATCCTTTGTTGTTTTGTATATGCATCTGTAAAATCAGGCTTGGATAAATAGTTTTGCCTAGAAAAGGAAATAAAAGTTAATAATCGGTTTATTTTGTATGCATTTTTATAAAGAAAATACATATTTCAGATGTGCTGTGAATTTTATAAGTCTACCATTGGACTTGATTAACAAAGGATAAACAGATAAATAAATAAATAAATAATACTGGTATAGTCTTTGTTTTCAATGATTAAAAAAAAAAGAATATTGAAAATGGTGCATGCAATGTGTTCAAGGTTTTTGGAGTATTAACTTCTACCACAAGGTGGCGACAGAGTACTATTTTATCGTCATCTAACAGTGAACTAAGAGTTTTATCAGCAACTTTTGGGTTCAAGCTTGAAAGTAAATCTGAACTAAGCTGAGGTAGAGGGCACCGACTGGACCACAAACATGCAAACACAGTAGACGATGATATAAAGATGAATCTAGTTATAAAAATGACTTCCTTATTGAGATTTCCTGCTCACTCTGGTAAAGATGTCTATGTATAACCACCTCTGATCAACCAAACCATCATTTTTCATATCAGCTTACTCCAGTCAGATGCAAAACAGGTGGGTTGATGCTTTCAGTGTTTGCATGAAAAGGGATTTGTCAGAAGAAGTCAAATCTGCTTCATGGAGCAGATTCTGTTTGACATAAAGCAGCGTGTGCAGGAAAAGCTGCTTGTTTATTGCACTCAGCAAGTGTGAGGTTTCCAGTCCATGCACTGAACCTAACCAGGAGAAAAGTCAAACAAAAGTAATATTTCAGTGTTTTTTATGATATGATGAGATGTTTTTGCCCCTCTGTAAAATGTTTGAATGGCTCGTCTTTTAACTTCAT